AAGGAGCTAAAAGTATACAATGGAAAAAAGAGAGCATCTTCAACAAATTGTGCTGGCAAAACTGGATGTCAATCTGTAGAAGAATGAAAATAGACCCATATCTATCACCATGCACAAAACTCAAGTCCAAGTGGGTGAAAGACCTCAATATCAGTCCAAACACACTGAACCTGATTGAAGAGAAAGTGGGAAGTACTCTACAACACGTGGGCACAGGAGACCACTTCCTACGTATAACCCCAGCAGCACAGACAGTAAGGGCCTCATTGAATAAATGGGACCTCCTGAGACTGAGAAGCTTCTGTAAAGCAAAGGACACTGTTGCTAAGACAGAAAGGCAACCCACTGACTGGGAGAAGATCTTCACCAACCCCGCAACTGACAAAGGTCTGATCTCCAAAATATATAAAGAACTCAAGAAACTAGACCGTAAAAGGCTAATCAACCCAATTATAAAATGGGGCACTGAGTTGAACAGAGATCTCTCAACAGAAGAAGTTCAAATGGCCAAAAGACACCTAAGGTCATGCTCAACTTCCTTAGCGATCAGGGAAATGCAAATCAAGACAACTTTAAGATACCATCTTACACCTGTCAGAATGGCGAAAATCAAAAACACCAATGATAGCCTTTGCTGGAGAGGTTGTGGAGAAAGGGGTACACTCATCCATTGCTGGTGGGAATGCAAACTTGTGCAACCACTCTGGAAAGCAGTGTGGAGGTTTCTCAGGAAATTCGGGATCAACCTACCCATGGACCCAGCAATACCACTCTTGGGAATATACCCAAGAGAGGCCTTATCATACAACAAAAGTATATGCTCTACTATGTTCATAGCAGCATTGTTTGTAATAGCCAGAACCTGGAAACAACCTAGATGCCCTTCAATTGAAGAATGGATGAAGAAAGTATGGAATATATACATATTAGAGTACTACTCAGCAGTAAAAAACAAGGACTTCTTGAAGTTTGCAGGCAAATGGATGGAAATAGAAAACACTATCCTGAGTGAGGTAAGCCAGACCCAAAAAGAGGAACATGGGATGTACTCACTCATATTTGGTTTCTAGCCATAAATAAAGGACATTGAGCCTATAATTCGGGTTCTTAGAGAAGCTAAATAAGAAGGAGAACCCAAAGAAAAACATATAGGCATCCTCCTGAACATTAATCTTCATCAGGCGATGAAAGGAGACAAGAGACAGAGACAGAGACCCACATTGGAGTACCGGACTGAAATCTCAAGGTCCAAATCAGGAGCAGAAGGAGAAAGAGCATGAGCAAGGAACTCAGGACCGCGAGGGGTACACCCACACACTGAGACAATGGGGATGTTCTATCGAGAACTCACCAAGGCCAGCTGGCCTGGGTCTGAAAAATGCTGGGTTAAAACCGGTCTCGCTGAACATAGCAGACAATGAGGACTACTGAGACCTCAAGAACAATGGCAATTGGTTTTTGATCCTACTGCATGTACTGGTTTTGTGGGAGCCTAGGCAGTTTGGATGCTCACCTTACTAGACCTGGATGGAGGAGGATGGTCCTTGGACTTCCCACAGGGCAGGGAACCCTGATTGCTCTTTGGGCTGACAAGGGAGAAAGACTTGATTGGGGAAGGGGGAGGGAAAGGGGAGGCGGCCGTGGGGAAGAGACAGAAATCTTTAATTAATTAATTAAACAAGAAAAAAAGACTGTGGTATGCATGCATGTTCATGTGTGTGTATAGGGGCACTTGTGTGTATACATGCATGTGAGAGCCAGAGGACAACTTCACTATTGTTTTTCAAGTACCATTACCTGGCTTTTTAAGACAGGGTTTCTCACTAGGTTATAATGTCACTAGACTATTGGGCAGTGAGGATCAGGCATTGGTCTGGTATGGGACAATTATGTAGCTTGGTCTTCTTATGTGGCTCCTAACAGTGGGAGCGGAGGTTGTCTGTAAATCTTTCTCTTGCTTTTGGGACCCTATTCTTCATACTAGGTGGTCTTGCCCAGCCTTAACACAAGGGGAGGTACTTAGTGCAACTTGATATGCCATATTTTGTTGCTCTCCACAGGAGGCCTGCTCCATTCTGAACAGAAATGGAGGGGTGGACAGGAGGAGGCAGAGGGAAGGTGCTGGGGAGAGACTGGGAGGAGAGGAGAGAAGGGAAACTGTGGTCTGGATGTAAAATAAATAAATAAAATTAAAATTAAAAGAGAGAGAAAGAAAAATAAAATGTAGGGCTTCTGCTTTTCCAAGCAGAAGGCTTGACTGTAAGACCTGTCTAAATATGTCACCCAGCACAGCAGCAGTGAGGAAGCCAGGAGGATCAGGAGCCCCCCTTCTTCAGCACCTGTTTCCTCCCATCTGAAACTGCAGATTTACAGAGTACCAGGCTGTGTGCCTGTGGGACTCACTCTGGCATCCCTTTCTCTCTTTTGCTTAAAGCCCTAGCGAGGGCAATTATGGTGGTTAATTTTATCAACTTGACACAATCTAGAATCCCCCGAGTCTCTGTGAAGAACTGTCTAAGTCAGGCTGTCTTAATTATAGTAATTGAAGTAGGGAGCCCCATCGGCTGTGCTTTTTCCCAGATGTGGGTTTTGAACTGTGTGGTGGAGAGGAGATGAGCATAAGAAACACACCTTTGCTTTTCCCTCTGCTCTTGACCGTGGCCATGACTAGCTACTGCAGGGTCATGCCTTGCCGCTGTGCTTAAGCACAGCAGGAAACATGAAGTTATGACCAAAGTACTTGATATTGGGAGCCTTTGTTTTTATTTCATATTATTATTTTATTTTTCAGGTCTAAAATTCAGTGTCTCTGGGCTTTACCAGATCTCCCGTCTTCTGCTGTTTTCTGTTGCACTGCCGAGTCACCCACTGTTTCAGAATCATAAGGACACAGAAAAACAATGGCTGTCTCTGCTCTGTCATTTTCTCTCCCTACAGTAAATGTCTTTTATGAGTATGCATGTGTATGTCTGTCAGGGAGAGTGGGAAGTGTGCGTGCATGGGCGTAGGGTGTGTGTGTGTGTGTGTGTGTGTGTGCGCGCGCGCGTGCGCACATGTCTAGGGAATAGGGTGTAGGGTGTACACGTATGTGTGTGGTGTGAGGTGTGCATGTGATGTGTAAGTGTGTACATGCTTGTGTGTGCAAGTTTTGGAGTATACACTTGTTGTCAGTAGCCCCTTAGTATATTTTCTCTATGTCTGAGTGTTTCCATTGGTTCAGAACATTCATGCATGAGGTCTCTTTGTTGGTAAAGACCCCATAACCCATGTAAGAAAGCTGGGCATAGTGGCATATGGTAAACCCCAGCCAATAAGAAGCCCTTTCTCAAAAACTAGCACTCACACACACACACACACACCACTCACAATACACACACCACACCACACACACTTGCACATACATACACACACACTAATAACAACAACAATGATAATGATAATAATTTTAGGCAATATGGAAGCACCTGAGAAATGGCAGCCCAGGTTGACCCCTTGCTTCCACACACATTTGCTCACCCCCACTTGTTGTTTATAGTGCGAGTGGGAGCCTTGAGGGCCCTATGGTGTGTGAGGACCACGAGACAGAGACCTTTGTGGTGGGTCCCCTGGCAGGTGGATATAAACCGTGGCAGGTGACAAATATGCCATGCAGACAGAGCTTAAGTCAGGAGTTTTATTGAGGGAAGAGAAGGGAGTGGGTAGGGAGAGAGGAAAAGGAAGAAAAAAAGAGAGAGAAGAGAAGAGAAGAGAAGAGAAGAGAAGAGAAGAGAAGAGAAGAGAAGAGAAGAGAAGAAGCAGAAAAGTCCTGCCTTCTCCTTCAGAAGAACAGCAGGGAAAGAGAGACCAGGAGTGGGTGGACCTTGTCTCTTAAAGAGACCTTTGCACCTGCGCACAGACTAGGACCCTGGGCTGACGAGGGTACTGCCTGGGTGCATCCTGTCAGATGACAGGGTAAGCCAGCATAATGCCTGAATCCTAACACCACCAGCGCCCCCCACACACACCCCAAAAAGTAAATTTCTTTTTATTGTGGCATAGTCTTTACTCTGACAAAAAAAAAAAAAACTATTCTTATTTATTCATCTAGTACTGGCAACCTGAGTTTTTTTCAGGTTGGGACGGGTTTTGCACCAAGCTGCTAAGAATCATTTTGTTTCCTCCTTGAACCTCTGTGACCATTTTTGGACTTCAATGTGAGCTGTAGAAGACACTGTTTGGGTTCTATTTCCAGCTCCACTAATTAACAGCTGTATAACCTTGGGCCAGCTATGTGAATAATCTGTGCTTCAAACAGATCTAATAGTAAAACGGTAGTCATAGCACCTGCTACAGCCTGGCTCGTTAGGTAGATCAGTACACGAATCATTTAGGAAAGTGCCTGACTATACAATGCATTCAACAAATCAGGACAGCTATGATTTAACCCGGGCCTAGTTTCATTTCTGTTGCTATGATAAAAGGCTCTGACAAAAAACAACTTGGAGAAAGCATTTATTTTAGCTCACAGTTCCAAAATCTCATTCTATCATTGCGGGGAGTCCCAGCAGCGAGAGCTGGAGACAGCTGGTCACATCCACAGTTGAAAGCAAAAAGAAGTGACTCCATGGTTGCTTTCACTCAGCTGCATTTCAGTGCTTGACCCTCTCCCTGCCTGGGGAATGGTGCAGCTAATAATGGGCTGGGTCTTCCCACATCAGTTAACTTAGCTTAGTTAACTTAGACAACCCGTCACCAAGACTCAGGGTGTTCTAGGTTGAGTTAAGTTCACAGTCAATCAATACAAACCCCCTCTCCCAAGTCAACACAAATGGACTGGAAGTGATGGCATCTTCAAAACGAGACAGCATGTCACCAGATCAGAGAGGACCATTTTTCTAAGAACGGTCGAGCTGCTGCATGCCCTTCCATTCCAGAAATGGTAGTTACATGGAATGGTGTGTCAGAGGTTCGGCCACCTCCCTCTAGCATCTTCCTGTCTCACAGTTCCTTGTTTCACTTCCTGACTCGGAATAGATTCAAGGAGTGAGTAACAGTGCGTGGTAAATAGATGTTATTGTCCCCGTCCGTCGCCAGCACAGTAGAACATCAGTGAAACATGAATGACTCCGAGGACGGGAGGGTGCAGCAGCTATGCTCCCACGGTAAGAATGGTCCTAGATTCTGGGGACTTAGAGAGGGGTCTTGGTGGAGCCACCTCGAGTCTCAGTTTGCCAAGGATGTGACTGATGCTCTGTCCACTCAGATGAGGAACACCTGATAACCAGCGGCACCAGATACTCCATCAAAGGCTTCAGATTCGAACCACCCTATGTCCTCAAAAGAGCTGCAGGTAAAAGGAGAAGGGAAAAGACAGGTTTCTTCAGCCATCTGTGTCCTGGGGAGGGGGAGAATGGAAGTCTGGATCTCTGAGACTGAGAAAAGAGGAAGATGGAGACTGGACCTCTGGGTACTGTGGAGGTAGGGGCTAAGGACTGGACTCCTGGTTTCTATAGGGTGGAGGCTGAGGATGGCACTCGAGTTTTAGGGAAAGGAAGACTGTGTGTGCTGTGGAGTTGGAGGCTGAAAACTCTACTTCTCAGTCCAATGGAGGAGAAACTCACAACTGGATCCTGAGGATGTGGAACCTGAGGGCTGGACTTCTGGGGTCCTGTAGAAGCAGAGGCTAGAACTAGATTCCTCCCTTCTACCAAGCAAAGATTGTGTCTTCTGCAAGTGGAAGCTGATTTTTTTAGAGTCCCGTGTCTTTGGGTGGCCATCTGGGAGACTGAACTCCTGGGTCCGAGGCAGACAAAGGCTCAAATGCGCCCTGAAATGTTCAAGGATGCAAACCTGGGTTCTTAAATGCTGGTGTCGTTGAGTCTGAAGGGACTGAACTATATTCTGAAGAAATTTGTCCTCCTGGGTCTTTGAAAGATAGAACATGTGACTCTGTACTCTGGGACTCTGGGGATAATGACAGATGAAAACCGAGAGTGGTGAGGGTGGGTCTGGGCGTTGAACTCCTGGGCATGCTGGGCATTCTTCAGAGACAGTGGAGAGGAATGAAAGTTCTGGGATTCTAGAGAGATAGGCACAGGTTTTTAGAATCTTGAGTCCTGGAAAGAAGGAAAATGAGGACTGGACTATTCAATTATGGAATGGTTGAGTTAGAAAAGAATCTTGTATCTTAGGGAAGTGAAAGCTGAAACACAGGTACAATGGATCCTGGGGTGGTGGAAGCCATAGTCCTGGGAAGAGGACCCTGGTGTCATGGCGAGTCAGGGCCACTGCTGTGATGGAACTCCCACCTTCTCTCCTGCAGGGCACCTGTGCCGTGGCCACGTCCCTGTTGTGCTGCAGCTGTTCTTCCTCACACTCTCTGCTGTTCTCCTTCTGGCTGTCCTCATCAAAGGTCAGGCAGGAATGGCGGATGGGGAGGTAGGGTAATGGTTAGGGACTTCTCAGAGCCCTTCTCCTCTCTAGAGTAGAAGAGGGTCTGGGCTCCACTTACCCTGGCCATTCAGTTTCCTCTGAATATCAGATTTCCTCATCCTCGAGAGGTATTAAACCAGCAGCTAGATAGCCTCCTGGTTAAAAGCACTTGTCAAAGAAACATGAGGACCAGAGAGTTTGGATCCCAGAACACATGTGAAGCAGGACATGGTAAGGCATGTTTCTGTAATCCTGGAAGCTGGTGGGCCAGCTAACCTGATTTACATGGTGGTGAACAAGAGACCCCGTATCAAACAAAGTGGAAGGTGAAGACTAACACCCAGAGTTGTCTATCCTCTGGCTCCTCAGGCGTGTGACAGCATGTCCACAGTCACAAATGCGCATGCACACCCACACCCACCTGCAATTTTAAAGAGAGGTATTAAACAAGATACTTTGTTGTTTGTTTGTTTAAATCTCCCTGGGGAATGAGTGCAGGCCATGACTTATAAAGTGTTTAATAATTGCAGACTCCTTTTCTTGTCACAGTCTCCAGTATTGCCAACACCCAGGGACAAGAACAGGCAAAGAAGGAGAAGGTTTACAAGGAGATGAGCCAACTGAAGCCTCAAATAAGTGAGTGACTGGAAGGCAAAAGGCCCTGGGCACTCAGAGGGTCTCCATGGTACATGGCTTGGCTTCAGCCACCACCCATTTCTGAGCCTCCACATCTTCTCATTTGATTCGATAACTTTATGTAAAGGAGATGATGAGGGGGTGGCAGTTTTGTTCAGCAGTTAAAACCACTTGCCATCAAACCTGATGACCTAAGTTTGGTTCCTGGGACTCCCAAGGTGGAAGGATAGAACTCACTCCCTGAAGTTGTCATCTACCTTCCACGTCCATGCCATAGCATGGGCATGACTACACACACACACACACACACCAGTTAATTTATTCACTGGTTGGTTGAAATTAGGGTCAATGGAAGTTAGTACTCAAAAAGAACAGTGAACATGGCTGAAATTCAGTTAGGTCTGTGCTGAGCTCGAAGTTCATACCTCTCCCAGGCTTGAGGGGAGACCAGGACTTCCAGGTTCTCTCGCGGTGAGGTATATTCTCAGAGAGTAGAGAGGAATGGTTGCCCAGGATGCTGTGTCTGAGGAGATCCTGCAGGGCTTGAAGGCTGGGTGGGCACGGAAATGGACATCCAAGCACATGCCCATCCTGACCAATCTCTCCCAACAGACCACCTGTGCCGCCCCTGTCGCTGGGACTGGACCCTCTTTCAAGGAAACTGTTACTACTTCTCCAAGTTCCAACAGAACTGGCATGACTCTGTCACCGCCTGCAGGGAAGTAGGAGCCCAACTAGTGGTTATCAAAAGTGATGAGGAGCAGGTATGTCTGGTGGGATCCAAATGGCTCTGGTGCATGTGTCTGACTGACCACAGGCATCTGGGGAGATACAAGTTTGCTAGTTTGAATTATGGGTGAGTGCTGCTTACTCCACTTGGGAAAGGAAGAGCAGAAAGAAAAATGTCCCAAGCACCATGTTTCATACACACAACCCACCACAACCACCAGCATCTTACAGTGTCTAAATATGAGTGGGTGCTTTGGGTAACACAAAATGCAAGTGGCTTCTGTTGGTACACTGGGAAGCGCTGAATGTCTTCCTTTACTGAACTTTAAAGGAAAGTCCAGTGTCTACCATTTGCCAACTCCCCTGTTGTAAATGTTGCCATACTGACCGAATTCATGTTACCAATGGGTCATCCCTCAATGCGGAGCTCAAAAGAGATCATATGCATGATCAGAAATGAAGAACTGGTACAAGCCGGCTTTAGCCCTTGTACCTAGTGGTGAGTTAACCCATCTGAGCATGCTCAGAACTCTTAAGACAGGCAAGCAGGCGATATTAGCATGTACCATGAAAGACAACTCAGAACAAACAGGATACAGAGGTGGGAGCCCTGAGACCTGTGGGACCCTGGAAAGATGAATACCAGACTGCAAGCAGAACTTCCTGCTTAGAGTTGGGGCAGGAAAACAATAGGGAGACTACACGGTAAGTAGCCTCTACCTGACTGCCTCTCTGCCCTCCAGAGCTTCCTGCAGCAGATGTCTAAAGAGAAAGGCTATGCCTGGATGGGTCTGTCAGACCTGAAGCATGAAAACATGTGGCACTGGTTGGATGGTTCACATTTGCTGTTCAGGCAAGTCTGGGAAGGAGGAGCAGCTTATAGCATCGGGTGGTGTGTGACTTACTTCTGTCCCTGTGATAAGGATGGCTTAAGAGGGAAAGGATTTTCCTGGCTCACAGATCCAGGGGACATATTCATGGTGGGTGTGGCATGCCAGTAGGAGTTGGAGGTGGCTGGTCATATGGCAATGGCAGTCAGGAAGCTGAGAGGAAACAAGTGGTCAGGCTGTAAGAGCTTGAGGCCCACGCCAGTGATCTGCTTCCCCCAGTGCCTGAAGGTTCTACAGCCTTCTCAGACAGTGCCAGCTGGGGGCTGGGTGTTCAAACACTGAGCCTGCGGGTGACATTTCACACTCAAACCACAATGGCACCAGCAAATGCTGGCTAGAGTTCTCCTTTGGATATGTCTCCATACCCTAGTCCTCTTGGCATAAAAGACATTATTCATGAAGGAAGAAACTCTTCATAATCATGTGCTGATAAGATGCCAAGTGCATCTTATCCACCAGCAGATATGGAGGAGGAGGAGGTCTGTCGTCTGCATGAGGCATTTAAATGAATATAATAACAGAAAATCTATGGGATAGTGTGTTCTTGTTGCTATAACTAAATGCCTGATAAAATGAACGTAAGGAATGATTGATTTGGCTCAGAGTTTGAGGATTCAGTTCACCATAATGGTGAAGGCATGCTAGCAGGAGCTTCGGGAAACTAGTTCTATAACATCCATAGTCAGAAACCGTGGGGGGGGGGATTTGAATGCCGGTTAAAAACAAACAAGTAAAACAAAACCAACCCCAGACTACTTTCTCCACTGTATGTACACACTTGTGTGGGGCGGGGGCACGGGCATATCTGTGGGGTTGTTGCACATGTGTGGGGAGGCACTGAAGTCTTATTCTGGTACCCATGGGAATGAATAACTAAAGCTCTATACCAGGCTTAGGACTGGCCAGTGTGACGTGTCCATGGGTTCAGGGATGTAGATACTGTCCCTCGATTTTGACCCTGAGTAGGCTATATAGGGGTTGAAAGTACAGAATCTTGAGGATAGAGATATTTAAGTCTGTGGAATTTGAGTTGGTTGGTTATATTTGAAGAAAAAACCTTCAGTAAAACAACCCCCTTCAAACATGAAAGATTACAAGGATCATGGGCCAAGGTCAAAGTACATGGGGCCTCATTGATCCAGAACAGGTCACATCTGCTGTAATACACGTGGGGCAGAAGTAAAAGCATCCCATTCCAATGACAGAAACATGTTGAGGGGCGGGAGATGGATGAGTTGATAAATTGCTTGCTGTGTGTTCTGGTTTCGTTTCTGTTGCTCTGATAAAACACACCGACTAAAAGCAAGTTAGCGGAGAAATGGTTTAGTTCACCTTTTATAATCTGAGGTTCCAGTCTGTCACTGGGGGAAGCTGAGGCAGTTGGTGACATCACATCCACAATCGAGATGAAAAAGAAATGAAAGTGTACATGTTCATGTGCATGCTGGATTTCTCCACTCTTACACAGTTCAGGGCCCCCTGCCTAGGTAGTGGTGCTGCTCACAGTGGGCTGGGTCTTCCCACATCTCTTAATATTATTTAGAAAATCCTCCACAGACACTTCCACAGACCAGTCAGTCCAATATAGACAATCCTTAAGACTGTCTTTGTAGGTGACTCTAAGTTGTGTCAAGTTGACAGTGATAACTGACCATCATATGATACAAGCATGAGGACCTGAGTTCTATCCTCTGAAACCACATAAGAAAGCCAAGTGTTTTGGCATGGGCTTGTCATCTCAGCACTGGAAAGGCAGAAACAGTAGATCCCTGGTGCTCATTAAACAGACAGTTTAGCTGAATTAGTACATTCTAGGCCAGTGAGAGACCATGCCTCTAAAATCAAGGTGGAAAGTGATTAAAGATGCCTGGGGTTGACTTATGGCCTCTGCATATACAACCATAAATGTGTACATGTTTCTGCATATAAATACACACACACACACACAAAGCACACACACAGGAGAGGTGAGGAGGGGGAAACATAGTTGATGAAGAGAAGGTGGGACTAATTCTCATACTTTTAAATGTTGGCCAAGGAAATTTATGAAGGAATAGCATTTAATTGGGATCCATGGCTCCAGGGGATTAGAGTTCCTGAGCATCATGTCAGGGAGCATGACAGCAGGAAAGCAGGCATGGTGCTGGAGAAGCAGCCAGTACTCCACACCTCAAGCCATAAGCACAAGACAGAGAAAGCTAACTAGGAAAGTTGTGGACTTTTAAAACTGCAAAGCCCACCCCCAGTGACACTCCCTCCTCCAACATGGCCACATCTAATCCTTGCCCGACAGTTCCACCTACTGGAGACCAAGCATTCAAATATGTGAGCCGTGGGAGCCATTCTCATTCAAACCTCAATTGGTTTTGCAGTTTCATGAAATATTGGAACAAAGGAGAGCCCAACAATGCAGGAGAAGAAGACTGTGCAGAATTCAGAGATGACGGCTGGAATGATGCTCCATGTGCAGTGGAGAAATACTGGATCTGCAAGAAGTCTGCTATGTCCTGCACCAAAAACTGATGTCTCATCTGTCTGTAGCACCTGTTGCCAAAATGACCCTGTGGGGTGACTGAACTTAACCCACAAACCCCACAATGTATGCCAGTTCCTTCCCCTGTGAACACGAAGGACTTAACTGCAGCTGTTTCCTCGTTTGTCCTCCCCTGCCTCCCCTGTGTGCCCCCCCTCTGTGTGTGTGTGTGTGTGTGTGTGTGTGTGTTCACACCAAAGGTCACCTTTGTCCTCCATCTTGGTTTTTTTTTTTTTTTTTGAGACAGGGTCTCATTTTTACCTTGAGACCACCATGAGGGTATGTTTTGGAAGTAAGGGGAGTCTGATTGTTATGGGAGTGGAGAGGTACAGACATGCTCTCTGTTCTGGTCAAGTTCCAGCAATAATAGACTACAACATGGAATTGCAAGCTAAATAAACCCTTCCTCTTCTAAACAATTTTGTTGGAGTAGTTTATCACAGCAACAGGAAACTTAATTAAGAACAAGAATCTCTCACTGACTCTGGAGTTTGTCACGTAGGCTGTGTAAACTGCATAAGGCTGGCCAGGGCCACAGCCACCCTCCATCTCCGGGTTTGGGATCACAAGCATGAACTACCATGCCTAGGTTTTTTCATGAGCTCTGAGGATTGAACTTGGCTCCTTATGCTCACTTGGCAAACACTTTACCAGCTAAGCAGTCTCCCCAGCCTGAGGATTCGGGTCTTTACAGAATTCATGATGTGTAAGCATTTTCTCCCATCTGTGAGTTTCTTTTTATTCTTCTTCCTGATTTCAAGGAGAATACTGATTAATTTTTTTCAAATATGAATGAAGCTCACCATGGTTTCTGTGAGGGGGGTTGATACATGTGTGTGGACCTGTGTGTGTGTGTGAGTGCACATGCCCATGCACGTGCGTGTGGAGGCCAGCATCCCCCTCTATCATGGCCTGCTTTACTCCTTTGGAGCAAGGTCTCCTCTGACTAAACACAGAACACCTCCTTTTCATCTAGACTGGCAGCCAAGATGTCCAGCAATCCTCCTGTCTCCACTCCCATCCCAGCACTGGTATTAGATGGTCACACCCAGTTTCCTAGTTAATGTCAGGGTTACAAAAAGAGAAGGAGGAGATAAAGTTGAGAAAGTCCAGGAAGACTTGTGGAAGGGATAGGAATGTGGATATGACCTAAATATATTGCACATGTGTAAGAAATTACTGAAGAACAAACTGAAGCCTGGCTGTTTGTTCAGGATGTATGTGCATGGAGAAACACAGCATCTCACCTCAGTCAGGGCATTGAGCTTTGCTTCCTTGTCTATAAGTCACTCAGGAGCGTGGACTCCCAATAGAAAGTCGGGATAGGAACCGCACTGGGAGACGGGCTGCAGTGAGATGGCTCAGTGGGTAAAGAGCTTGCTTTGGAAGGCTGAAGGCCTGAATTTGATTCTTGGAACTCACATAAAGGTAGAAAGTGAGAACTAACTCCACAAAGCTGTCTTCTGACCTTTGAGTGCATGCTGTGGTGCCCTCGACACTCTAGAAACAATAGTAGTAGTGGTGGTGGCAATAAAGAATGGCAGTAGACCTACGGGTGTGTTTTCTTTCATATATCCCAGGTAAGGAAACAGTAATGACTCAAAGAAACAATTACACTTAAGTCTAGCTCAGTGAACCATGAGATTATTAGGGTGAGAGGCTCAAAGTTATCTTGACATTTTTCATTTAAATTAGCATACTAGGTATTAGAAATTTTCTAAGAGAGTATGGTTTTACTAGATACTTTCCAGGGAAACCACTGCTCTCTTCTGACCTCCATGGGCACCAGGAAGCTCTCCCTTAGCTAAATTCTATATTGTGTGATTTAATGTCTCCTAGGCAAATCTATTGGTAAATTCTTTATAACATCAATCACTTCGAGTTTCTTCTACATCATTCTCACCTGTTAGAGCTATTAAAAATTTGTGCCATAGGAAACTGAACACTCAGGGTCCTCCTGATTTATCCCCACACTGACTCCAAGATCAGAACCTTTTGTAGCTTCTTAGCCTCTCTCCAAGTGGCGATTAAACTAGGCCAAACAGCTCAGAATGCACGGTCTGAATGACCATCATAGTACAGTCAGAAGGAAAGGTCCTGCTAGAAACATTAACCAAACTTTTTAAACCCAGAAGTCATTCCAAAAATACCAGGAGCTCTCTAGGACTTCCCTTTCCTTTGGCTGTTTTACCATGTTTCTAACCATTACTGACTTATTAGCACAGTAACAGCCCTCTTCCTTTGAACCGGCACATAATCCTTGCTCCAGGGTTTCAAGGCTCTATTCAACTTCAAAAAATATATACCATCTACAAGAACCATCTATTATCTGGATTGGTATCCAGGCATAGCTTTTTAAAGGTTTCAGATAAATTATTTGGAAACATATTATTTTTAGATATATCAGAGTTAATAAAATTCTTCATATCAGAGTCCAATTCTTAGGAGCCATCACTGCTAGCCCTATAGGAAGCATTATGACAAACATTACCATGAGTCCAAAGGGAGGAAGAACTATCATGATCTGAAGTAGGAGCCTTCTTGTTCGTTTCCCAGCCACCCAGATTCCCAAAATAATCACACAGCAACTATATTATTTAAATCAGTGTTTGGCCTATTAGCTCTAGCATCTTATTGGCTAGCTCTTACATATTAATTTTATCTTTATTAATCTGTGTATTGCCACGAGACTGTGGCTTACTGGGTAAAGTTCCAGCAACTGTCTCCGGTGGGGCTACATGTCTTCTCCTTCACTCCACCTTCTTTCTCCTCACATTCAGTTTAGTTTTCCCTGCCTACCCTATTCTGCCCTGTGCAAGCCTAAGACCAATGGTATTCACAGCATACAGAGGGGAATTCCACATCAATGATCCCCACCTCCAAATGTCCCCTGCTGAACTCCTCAACCTTCTGTGGTGATTAGACCTGTTGGCATCCAGGTTTACAACTTGAGCAGGGTTGAAAAGCTGGTCCCTGTGTCTCTGGAAAGTGACTCATATAAGCTGGTTCAGGTGAACTTCTAACATCCAGGTCTCCTTGTAGAGAGGGAGGAAGGTTTTCTGATCTTGTCTACACAGCAGAAGACAAAGCAGAAGACTCTAGTAGTCTTATTTCCCATGTATACTTGACGTGTATGCATCTAAATTTTTACATATATATTCCTTTGATCAAACAATTTAACATTTTTAAATACCATGAGATACAATAACAATTAATTTGCCATTCGTTGAGAAAAATTTTCCCTAAAGGGCACCAGGTGTTAAGCAGTGTCTTTTCATTAGGACCTTTACCCAGCTTTCCCTCTGTTGCATAGGGGGATTCTTTTCCTTTTAAATACCAACCAGGATTCCTTCCTTCTTTTGGAAGGGGTTCCAGGTCTTAATTGGACCTTTGGTGTCAGAAACTCAGCCTTGGAGGGCAGAAGGAGCAGGTGAGAAAGTGAATTTACAGTCTAGTTTATCTGCCTCAATCCGGATCAATCAAACCAAAACAGGTGACTGATCTTCTCACAACAAATTCTTCCTAAACAGCCTGCACAGAGAGGTCTCCAGCACCTACAGAGTTCCCTGACACACAAGCCTCACAACCACAACCACTCGCATATTCGTTCATTTGAAGCTTACAACCCATTCCCTCCCTTCTATTGTCTTCCTACTGGCAACCCTGTCAGATTTCCTAGGCAGGCTCCCTGGTGGGCATCCAGCCCTACCCAACCTGTTGTCTGTACTAGAAGCCTTGGGGCTTGATCGGAGCCCTCTTCCAACCCATAGGATTGGATGGCTTGAGACCTGGAGGTCTCTGTAGTTTACCTTATCCTGCAGGTTCTCTGCCCAGTTTTTCCTTCTCTCTCCGACAGTGTCTGTACTGCTGATCAGCAGTTTGGAGAATTCAGAGTGCCCTGTAGAGGAAATCCTCTCTTCCCAGACTCCTGCTCCCCCACCAGCTGAGCAGGCTTCCCAGTTAGGATTACTTACCCTGCACACTTAGAGTTAATGAAGGAAGGATTCTTTAGTAGCATTTGTCCAGTCTGGCTAATGAGCAAAGGGCAGAAGACTCTTACTAACTTACATACACCTAAGACACGTGCATTCCACACACCCCATCATCCTTAAATGTCTATCAGGTCCTGGACCCAGTGTTTACCCTTTGAACAGATACAGTGTGAGAACCAAAGCCACAAGGCTAGTTATCATCTTCGCTAGGGTTGGAGAAGATGGATGTCATGTGATTTTACCACCATCTTGACTAAAGGTGCCCACATGGAGTGGGCCTACCAAAGAGGCAATAACAGGTCTCCAAGATACTTTGGATTAGGATAGATTTTTGTATAATAATTCCTGTCCTGTCCTGAAAACAAGGTTAATATATTAAAGCTGCACCTCCATGCTTTTATATTCAAGAATGTACCTTGTTGCTAGGTACCTTTAATACCAACACTGGGGAGGCAGAGGCAAGTGAATGGATCTCTGTGAGCTTGAGGCCAACCTGGTCTACAGAGTGAGTTTCAGGACAGGCTCCAAAGCTGCACAGAGAAATCCTGTCTTCAAAACAAAACAAACAAACAGAAAAGTACCTTGCTCTGGCAGCTAAACTTTATAATTTAAGAATCACCCAGGTGATAATGGTCTTAAAGATGTAAAGGGATCATGGGGAACAGCTGAGACATGCAAATGTATGGCAGGGCTTTAATTCCTAAAGAGAGCCAGTTACAGTGGGGGACCTCAGCAGTTTTGGAAATGCCAGAGCCATGTGAGAGTCAACAGAAGCATCAGCCACAGTGAAGTGGAGCAGGCTGAGATCTGGAAGGCAGGCTATGTTATGTTTGCTGTTCAGGGTTGGCCAAAAAGGTGATTCAAGCCCCTCAAGAAAACCAAAAAGATTGTGAATGAATCCCAGATAGTGAGCTTTTTGCACTGTTGGAGCTTGGTTTTTGCCTTATGTAGTTTGTGGTTATGCCCTGATTTCTCCCTATTGAAGTTAAAAAAGGGGGTACTTTATTTTATGATATTGCAGGAACACACAGTTGAGAGATTTTAAGCTTTTTTAAGAGAAAATTTTAAAACTTTATAGAAAATTTTAAAAACTGGATAGTTTTTAGAGAGAAGCTTTTAAAATACTTAAATTTATGAGACTATGTGACATTGTAAATTATAAAATATTTGTAGTATTAATATGTAAGCAAATATAAGCAAAAGGCTAAAAATGAAAATCACACCTATGAGCACCAAATACTAAACACCAGAAACTGGACTGTACTGAGGGGGATCCATCCGGAGGGGTAAGTGTGTGCCCGCCCGGCTGGCCAGATGCCCCAGAAACGGAGTACAGGCCCTCTCAAATTCCCTATATGTTTCTGGCCATTCAGCGGGGCATCTCCCAGGCTACTGGCTTTCTCTA